GGATTTTTCCCCAGAAATAATTTAAGAATCTTCTCTCAAAATCTTGCCAATTGTCAAATTCGTCTTCCTTGCTGACAAACCAAAGATTTGCCTCTTCTTTGAGATGGTTTCTGATGGTTTCCTTTGCTGTTGCAAACGGTCCTATGTATTTGACTTTTTCCTTTAGGATATTTATAAAAGGCACTGGGTGTAGTTTCCTTATATCCCCGCCAAATCGTACTTTTACGTCTTCTGTGCTATGTACGATAACTTCCTTTCTTTCTATTCCTCTTATCTCCATCTCTGCAATTTGTTTAAATCTCCTTTCCGTTTCTTTCCGGTCTTCTTGTAGCGCATTTTCAAATTTTATTTCTATCTGTTCTAATTCCCTTTCTTGCATACTCTGAATATCCTTCATTTTAGTTTCGATTTCTTCTCTCTGCAATTCTAGTTTCCTCTCTGTTTCTTCCCTACTTCTTTCTAAACAGACTTTTATTTCGTTTTCATATTTGTCCATACGCGTTTCCATTTTTTGTTCCATTTTTCTTTGGTTTTCTTCCAATTTGTCCAATTTTTGTTCCGTCTTTGTTGTGATTCATCCAATTTTTGTTCCGTTCTTTGTTGTGATTCATCCATCTTCTGTGATTGGAGTTGCATCATTTGTATTAATTTTTCTATTCCCGATTCTTGTTTTTCTGTCTCCATTACTGTTGTGTCTAATACGTCTTCCTGGTCTGAATATTCTTCCTGTTCTGATTTATCTTCTTGTTTTTTGTTCTCTTTGCTCTTGTTTCTTGTGTTTGGCATTTATTCTGTTTTTATCCCCGCCAAATATAAAATTCTACTGGTCTGTTGCAACAAACGGGACTTTTCTTGTTCAAATGTAATAACTCTTGAGTACGAATATCAAATTTCAATATCCCACAAATAAATCAAATGGTAAAATATCAAATGTCAAATTCAATCAAATAAATCACGTATGGTAAAATTATCAAATGTAAATATCACACAAATAAATCAATTATGGTAACCTATAAATTGTCAATATCACGAATAAATCAATTATGGTAAATTGTATCTTAAAAAAAATATATAAATCTTTATGTCCTCAAATTTTACATAATATTTCACTTTATCCACGGCATATAAACTTTCAAATATCTGCTCGTCTACTCCTATCCTTTCAAATTTGCCAACTAGAAATATTTTTCAAAGCTTTACACGTTGGGGGCCATATTGTTATGCTATTTAAATTGTATTCTATTGCTTATTTAGAAAAGATCCTGTCTATATTTATTAAATGATCTAATCTCCAATTGATCACAATAAATCAGCATTAATTAATTACAATCTCAGGCTATTTAACTTGTACTATTTACCTTTGATCGTGGATTCAAAATATTTTCCAATTGGCTTCCTAATTGGGATAGGTAATATGACCTGAATAAAATACACAGAATTTCAAACTGAAGTATATGTGAGATGTCCTTTATTTTATTGAAATTTTATATAACAATCAATCCGGTAATATTTGCAATACAATACTTTAAATATATGAGAAGTTGTTTTCTATCATGGACCCAAATGTTATTTTACATTGATTTTTAATATGTGTTATAACTAAGCTCTCTTTATAATTTTTTTTTTAAATGATCGCAAAATTAACTGTCTCTATTATTTATTCAATTTATTTAATTTATAAATGAAAACCACACTCCTGCTCTAATGAAAATTGACTGACCTTTCGTTATCTGCCGTTGCAATTCTATGGCCACGCCATAAAAAAAAAAAAAACCTTTCTCTGCTTCTGCTCCTACTTTGGTCCAGAAGACGTACACCTTTCTCCTATCTGTCCTTGTATCTGCAACCCAACAACTCGTGTAATTCTATGCAGCCTCCTTTTGAACCAATCTCCGCGCCTGTTTATAACTTCAAATGTTTCCGGCTTCGTCTGATATTAATATTCTTATACCCTTTGGTTTTTCTATCTCTCTGTACCCCGTTCCTCACACTGATCAGCTTTTACACAGCAAATAAACACACCCGGTAAATTACGTCTTCGGGACTTCAAACAAACACAAACCACAAAGCTCCTTCCTTCTTGGGCGACGAAAACTGACTAACTCCTTTCCTCTCTCCTATCTCATAGCCAAAACCACTCCCTCCTTGCATTCAAAAATTGACCAATAAAAATCTTCTACCTCTGTGACGTATATCGTTAACAACCAACTCTCTCTATTAAAACGTCATTCGGGTAATTCCAGAAAACAACATTCTTTAATTATTCTAACTAAATCTATCTGCTTTACAAATATTTCTTACTAATAGCTACAAACGATACCTGTTTCTCAATTCAATGTCTTTTGTTAATAAACTTTTACCGATATAATCTTTCGGGGGGAAAAACCACCGCACATCCCGGTCTATTGTTTAAACACTTTCTATATACACTTTTATTACGGGTAAATCCATTTCACAATAACCGACTTATTTAAATTTCTTATCGATAATATTTGAAAGTCTTGTCTCTGAGGCCTAATGAACAATTCTTTGAACAACTTAAAATACATATTTTGTCTTATACAGGATGTTTGAAAATTTATATGCCCGTGTCATTATGAAATATCAATAATTTTAATTTTTATTTAAGTAATAAAATTTGTATATCGGTTTTTTATTGCTAACAGACATTCAAAAGTACAACAATATATATATATATATATATATATATATATATATATATATATATATATATATATATATATATATATATATATATATATAAAATACAAAATACAAACAAATTCTATTTAATTGTCTTTAGATATTCGTCCTGAAGTGACGCTGTTGATATCGACGCGCTTGCTGTCGGTAATCCTTCACTTAACGGTAAAAATTAAACCAAAACAAACCATAAATAAACCCATTCCCTGAAGAGGCTGGAACCTAAAACGGGGGCTCTCTATGCAGAGAGGAATTACGACATACTACTACTATTACTACTATCCTTCACCTTTAGTAATCCTTCAGTATTACAGTTGAACTTCGTTATCTTATAAATAATCAGTAAATGTTATTAGACCAAGATGCGATCTTAGCTCTGATAACTTCATTTTGGCAGTGTTGTTTTGTCGTCTCCTTCGCTATCTTCACTTCCATGTTCATTTTTCAGGTTTATAACTTCATTTGTTATTTCACTTTTAGTCATGATGTTATACCCTGGGTCACCTTCATCTACTTCTAGCCATTGTAAAAATCTTTCTCAGCTACGTGTTCTCCAGCATTATTATGTATTGCCCTACAGAAATCAGTAGCTTCCAACCCTTCTAAATCTATGTCTGCATCTTAGCCATCAAACAAATTCTTCCAACCATTTTTTAACGTTTGCTCTTCAAGCTCCGTCTATGCTACAGCAAAATTAAAAACTGTTGATTTTAAATTGTAAAACCTTAAGTTTTGCAAGATACGCTACCCTTTTGTATCTTCTGCATTATCTTTATCGTGCAATACAACCATTACTTCGTCTAAAAACGTTGTATTTTTTATCAAAAACACAACTAAAATTGCCGTTTTTTAAACGTAGAATATTTTCAAAGGGGTGAGCAAGAAAGTTGTCTAAAATCAATAAACATTTTACCTCTCCTGGCGGTATTCCCAATTTCTTCTCTTGAAAATTTTCCACTGAAGGTACAAATTCTTTGATAAACCAATTTTTGAAATTATCTGAGGTAAACCATGTTTTCTTAGAACTATAATATGAAACGGGCAGATGATCCATTATATCCTTTAAAGCTCTAAGTTTACGAGATTCGCTAACCATTACAGGAGTCAATTTATGCAATTCATTGGCGTTAGCACAAAGCGGTGCCTGGATATTTCTTCCAGAATTCGATTTTTCATATTTGTAGGCTTGTGTGCTTTCAGGCAAAGTACGCCATAACAAACTCGTTTCGTCAGCATTGTAAACCTGGGATTCTAATAGCATTTCTTTACGTATATGTTTTGCTAATTTTTGCCTAAAAGGTTCTATTTCTTCTTTTGGTGCATTTGAAGCTTCGCCGTAAATTATTTTATTCGTAATTCCGTGCCATTTGCGAAAGCACCAGAACGTTGTTGGTCGTACCAGTTGAAGATTGCTTCTTCCGGTGAAGTTTCAGGAGCCGATTTCATTCGTTTTTTGTGATTGCTGTTCTCTCTTATATCACACATTAATGCAAATTTATTTATTTTGCTTTAATTAAGTTAATAAAAAAATAAATGGGATTCAGAGCCTCGACATCAGGTTTACACTCATAATATATTGAGTCTGCTATTGCCAAATATGTGTGGATGCCTTACCGAATGTGGGAACATAGTTGACCCAACGTTGGCCTTAACGTTGGCATCAACGTTGGATCTCATGTGTGGAGCAGTCCTAAGAATGTGTTCTCTTATGCTAAATTTTATTGATATTCGTTGTAAACTACAGTGGGTATGGGTAATTTTTTTTACATTTGACCGAATTTTTTGTCCGTTATATAGAGGTTTGTTATATCGAGGTTTTACTGTACCTACTATAGAAATGTTAACAAAAAATAAATATATATGAATAAATAATTCATACCAAAAATTAGCCTGATGGTTCGTTTAAAATATATAATAAAAGAATTAGCCTAATGGTTATTCTTCATCAGAGAAATTAATAAAATTAAACAAATTTGGAGTGAAAATTATTCTTTGAGTGAGAATTATTCCGCTGAGAATTATTATTATTTATATACGTATTTTATTAGAAAACAATCAGAAAACATTATCAAAAGTCTTAAAATAAAATTTAGCTTTAACGTGAAATATGATCATGTTATATTAAAAATTTCTACCTAGGAAATCGTTCTCTTTATTTAGTTAGATTTAATGTAAGTTATAAGTGGTACATAAACCAAACATCTAGATCCTATTGTTACATTCTTTGTGTAATAATACCTAAATCAATCTACTGAAAATATCCTGACCCAATTAGAAAAAAATTTACTTTATCTTACCTTTCTCAACCTTATCTTGAAAGGCTGGAGGTGGAGATATGATGGGTGTTAGCGATGGGGATTCTAGGGGTGGTGAAGGTGAGGCACTTTTTCGAATATACTCGGTTGATTGGAAACTTAGCACAGAAGGTCGTTCGGAGCCTGGCTCGCTGTTGAAGTGATAATCGGTGAGTTTGCCCGGTACTCTTTTCGGTGGTATTTTCGTTAAATCGACAGAACTCAGCCGTTTACTTTCGTCAAGTGATCGTTGTTCTACTTGGACCCAGCCAGACTTGTTTAGGTATACTCCGTCTACTTCCCGATCATGCCATCGAACCTACAATAATAGAGTTAATTAAATTATTATTGTTATCACTATTATTACTACTATAATACTAAATTAAAATCACAAATATAGTTAAAGGAGAACTGTAATTTCCCTAAAAAGTTACTCTGCAAACTTATCTAGTATATTTTATTCTATATATCTTCTATTCTTCATCTATTTTATAAAGTGAATTGTAACAATGACCCCTAAACCCAGGGGCATTGTAATACAGGTACATCCAAAATAGAAAGCGTACACATTTTAAAAAATAAGCCACACTACAACTGAGTTTATGAGAATTACTAAGCAAAACATTGGTATACAAATAAAAATCACTAAAAAAGAGTACATCAATTGCAGAATTTTAGTAGCTATGACGTTAACTTTAAGTGTGATTCAGACGAAAAGATTAGTAGAAGCCAGGTGCGGATCCAAGAGAACGGAAAATAGGGAAATTCCCCTCCCCCAAAAGTCCAAAATTAAATGAATCATCATCGTTTTGGCTTTACAACCCTGCATGTGCGTTCTTAATCCTCTCCAGTCGTTCCTATCTATCGTCTTCCTCCGCTAAGCGCATATTCCCATATTTCGCATGTCTTCCTCGATGTTATCAAGGAACCTTTTCTGGCTTCCTCTTCTCTGACCAATGGGTCTATCAAGGAGCATTTTTCTAGCTGGGTCATTTTGTTTCATCAGCATTATGTTTATTTGTTTTTACGCAGAACAGGCCGTTAACGCCTAGGGCATTTTTTCACAACATAATCCTAATATTAACTAGTTACAATTATTTTAAACAAAACTTGAACTTAAATATGTATATATAACATTCTTACTACTCTGAAGGACTTGGTGTACAATATTTCTCTATTCGCTTTTATTTTGTGCTTTTATTTTCCAGTCCCTCACCTTCACGTGTTTAAAGTCTTTCTCCGCTTTACTAATCCACCTTGTTCTGGGTCTACCTCTTCTTTTCGGGCCGATTTATTTTCTAGTTATTACTAGTTTAGACATTCTGTTTGCTGCCATTCTTTCCACATGTCCCAACCATCTGATTCTTTATGCCTTGACGAACTTGTTAATGGTAGGTTCTTTGTATAAAGCCTTTAATTCATTATTGGTTCTTCTCTCCCAACCATCTTCTGTCTTCCGTTTTCAAAATATGCGTCTCAATATTTTCCTTTTCCATTTTTCCAGAGTATCCTCTTCCTTCTTATTTAATGTCCATATCTCACCGGCATCTGTTACTGTGGGTCGAATTACTGTTTTATATATTCTGAGTTTACCTTGTCTAGACACGTATTTTGAGTTCAGTAGGGCTCTTGAACTACCTAATTTTTTTATTCCCTTTTGCTATTCTGGCTTCGAGCTCCCATTTCATCTCTTCTCCATTTCATCGAAAACTACAGCCAGGTATTCAAATTTGTCCACCCTTCTAAAACTATAGCTTTTACCACTTACTGACCTCACACTAAAGTCTTCTTTTTTCCCTTCTGTTCCTCCCATGATCATATATTTGGTTTTGTCTTCATTTAGTTCCACACCGAATCTCTGTTTTTTGCTAGGATCGTTAGATCGTCAGCAAATGTTAAGCACTGGTGCTCATTTTCATGATCGTTTCTTCCACCTTCATGCTGCATTTTCTGATTTCAGTTTCTAACTAAGTTGAATAATGTAGTGGATAAAGGATCTCCCTATCTCAAGCCTTTTGCAATCGTAAATTGATCTGATATATGACCCTGCCAAGCAATTTCAGACGTAGAGTTATTAAGTGTCATTTTAACTATCAGGATTAGTTTCTTTGGTATACCCAAATGTTCCATTGCTCGATACATTTTGACTCTATCGACTCTATCATATGCTCGTCTAAAATCCACAAACAAAACATGCAGAGGAATCATCAGCATTTATCGGCATACATGCCTTATCTACCTCAGATGTCCTATCCTTGTATGTTTTATGATATCTGGTTCCTGGTGTATTCTATTAAGTTCGAAGTTGTATTGTCTTCTCCACACTCCATTCTTATTCACTGCTCCATAGATTCGCATAGATTGTAGTTCTCGATATAATTGTAGATTTAAGGAGGAGATTGAGCCGAAAATACAGCTGGAAACAGTTCTCCGTATGTAGAGGTTTACTCTCCGGCTCTGGAACTCACTTCAGTCGTGTATGTTACCTGAAGTCATATTTAATTTAATACTGAACATCACAGTTTTTAACAACATGATGTATAATCTTTTACAACTATATGTAATTTATTTAAAGGGTTTTTACCCATGTATTTTGGTGGCTCAGGCATTTGAACCTGGCAATTTTAAAATTTAAACCTGATGGTGGACTGTTTAGTCCCAAAACGTTTGTTTTTTTGATGTAGCCCTTTTAAGGGGTTTTTAAATAAATATACCCACTTACGAAGACTAACCTCTTTTTGTGATACGTGGTATACAGCCAGCTACAGGAATTGTTTTCCTTGTGGATTTTTTTTTTTCTAAAATTTGTTTTGGAGTTGTAATCTGATGAATTATCGATTTAGCACCTCTAAAACTAGCCTAGTATTTTCCCACTATCCGTTCTGCATATGATGCCATACGGTGATATAGTACTGTGAAAAATATTTTAGACGCTGCGTTTAGAAGCGTAATTCCTCTGTAGTTAGAGCATTCAAAGATATCTCCTTTTTGTGAATCGTGCAAACTATTCCAGTGTTACAATAATTGGGGATGGATTTCTGTGACCACCTCCTTTATATGGTTAAGCTTATATCTCCCTTATAGAGATATTATCTTTTCTGGGTGATTTATTTCTGGCTAGTTTTTAACTGCATCTTCAACTTCAAGCATCGTGGGTGGTTCCTCTTCTCTTTCGTGTGTTCCCTTTACCTCATCTCTTTCGTCTTCCAGGTTTTCTTCTTTTTCCTACATATTAAGTGACTGGTTAAAGTATTCCTCCGATTTATTTAATACATCTTACTTTATTGTTATTAGGTCGCCATTTTGACTTCTGGATTGTCTTGTGGTTGACTTGAATTCTTTTCTGTTGATGTTACCTTTGTTATAGAATGCTCTGAATTCTTTCTCTCTGTTGAGATGTTCCATACATTTAAGTTCCTTATTTAAGTGGTTTCGTTTTTTTTGTGTATCCACTTTTCTTCTCTTCTCTTTGTTTGGTAGTTCTCTACAGTTGTTCTAGTTAGTCATGGCATCTTTCTGTAGACTTCATTTTTTTTCATTTGTTGCATTCTTGCGTTTATCGTCAAATCAATGGTTTTTACGGGTAGATATGTCTGTTCCTATTTTATCATTCGCTGCTACTTCAATGTTTTCCTTTATTATGGACCAGTAGGAGTCTATATCTGTCTGGCCTTCTTCATTTACATTTTGATTTCTTACCCTCTGGTGATGTTTTTAGCCAAATAAGTACCCGCGGATCAACTGAGGATATGACATTAGGCAGCAGTAATGTCATTACTGGATTAAGGCTGTGGGAAGTAAAAATCCTGTAGGTTTATTCCAGATACTCACAGGCGTCACTCACATTATGAGTTAAGCGGCTGTGTCACTGCGATGGGGAAGGCAACGGGAAACCACCCCATTATGATCCCTAGTAAAGTTATCATAGAATCAATGACTGTAACGAATACTACTGATCATGGGCTGCGGAACTCAAGATCCGGCAGGGAAAGGAATACACAATCAAACCACAGGGCTTCCCAAGTCGCTAGCCAGCGAAATCCCTGTGAGGAAAACATCACTAGACTTACGATGAAAATGAAAAATCCATACAAAGTGGCTACATGGAATGTAACAACCTTATATGAAGCCGCTAAGTTGAGAAATCTACTCTCTGAAATGGACAAATTAAACATTACTATCATGGGGGCGAGTGAAACAAGATGGCCAAACAAAGGGAATTTCAGTGCAAATGGTTACGCCGTTTATTTTTCTGGAAATCAAGACCATATGCATCGAAATGGAGTAGCAAATATTATCAAACAGCATATTAATAAGTATGTCACTAACTTCATCCCAATATCAGACAGAGTAATTTTAATACAGCTGAATGCTAAACCTGTAAATATAAATATCATCCAAGTCTATGCTCCCACTGCTGACGCAGATGAGCAGAATATTGAAGAATTCTACCATCAAATAGAAGAAGTGCTAAAAATAACAAAGAAACACGAAGCAATAATAATTATGGGTGACTTTAACGCTAAAGTTGGACAGAAGATGACGCAGGGCATCACCGGAAAGTTTGGCTTGGGAGACAGAAATCAAAGAGGTGAACGGCTAATAGAATTCGGCCAAGAAAATGACTTCGCCATTACAAATACCTGGTCTCAACTTCCAGAAAGGCGTCTTTACACGTGGAAATCCCCTCAAGATGGACATCAAGGCAGAATAGTACGGAATCAAATAGACTACATCCTAATAAACCACCGATTTCGAAACAATATTAAAGATGTAAAAACTTACCCCGGCGCTGACATAAACTCAAATCACAATTTACTCTGCTCCAAAATACAAATTAAATTGAAGAAATTAACAAAGCCCACTAAGCCTTGGATATATCTCGACCCCCTGAAAAACCCTCAAACGAGCGAACACATAACACAGCAAATAAATAGTAAAATACACAGAATATCAAATATACCAAACGAAAACAAAACCATTAACGAATGCTGGTATGCCATTCAAAACTCGATTTTTGAGAACGTACAAGAGTCTTTGAAAACACCTACCATGTTGGCAAAAAATGAGTGGATGACACAAGAAATTCTAGATCTGATGGAAGTTCGACGGCAACACAAAAATAGAAATATTATCGAATATCGTGAAATTAATAAACGCATAAAAAGAAAAATTAAGCAAGCCAAAGAATCCTGGCTTGAAAATTTATGTAAAGAAATAGAAGACCTCCAAAAAAAGCATGACAGCTTCAACCCGCATAAGAAACTTAAATATACTGCCGGAATTAGAAAACAGAAAAATGCTCACTTACTTAAAAGC